TTAAGAAAAAATACTTGGGAGTTCAGGTATCTCTCAATAGATGGAGAAAAAAATTAAGAAAAGATACTTAGAAGTTCAGTTATATTTCAATAGATAGAAAAAAATTAAGAAAAAATACTTGGGAGTTCAGGTATCTCTCAATAGATGGAGAAACAAATAATAAGGAAAAATACTTGGAAGTTTAGTTATCTCTCAATAGATGGAGAAAAAATAAAGAAAAAAATAGTTGGAAGTTAAGTTATCAGAGGCGAATGCAGGAATGAACTCTCATTGCAGGCATTTACACAAAAAGCGCTCTGATATCCAAAGTTGCCGAATTTTTTATTTCACTGATTTTCCTAAAACTTATATTACTGTCAGATGCAAAAATCAGATTGGACAAATTTGGACATTTTTACTTTCACTTACCTCAATTTTTTTTTACATAGTAAGTTTATCTACAATCTATGATATTTCCATATAAATAATTTTATTTTAGCTCATTTGTGACACAGTGCAGCGGCGGGCCGTAGTTTGGTGACCCCTGCTCTAGCCTATCAATTAAGGACGAGTAGAGCAGATAGCCCTCAGGTAGCTTTGTGTGAAATTCAACAAGCAGTTAGCGTTTCAATTATTCTTAATGTAAAACAAATTTGGTTTGAAGTTAAGCACAAAGCTACACAATGGGTTATCTGTGCTGTGTCCACCTCATGTATCAAACCCTGATTTTTAATGTTTTAAGCCATCATACTTACCGCCGAGCCATCGGGGACCTTCTTACATGTATTGAAAAGTGTAGAATATATGAGTGCCCTGTATTTGTCATCAGGTTACTGGCAAATTCTAGCAAATCTGACGGTAGACAGAAAACTCCATTTGTTACAGATTTATCACAGTTCAGAGTTATGTCTTTTTCGATTAACAGTGCTCCACCTATTTTTCAAAGGTTCTTGAATATGGTACCAGAAGGAATAAAACTGATTGTTGCGAGGCATACATTAATGATGTAGTGATATTATCACCAAATTTTGAACAGCATTTAAAATACCCTAAACTTAAATTTTATAAAGAAACATAAACCACGAAGGCTAGTAAAATTTAATTATGTAAGTCCCAAGTATCTTACTTTAAGTAATACTTAAAGATATTTACACAACTCTTGAAAAAGTTAACACTGTAGAGAATTTTATAATCCCAAAGAATTGTAGAGAACTGAATACATTTTTGAGAACGTACAGTTGATGTATTCAGTTTCAACCGAGATATTCCACAATTACTAAACTTATTTATTAGTTAAGAAGAAAAAGTAGACTCCAGAATGATAAGATGATTTTCTGAATCATTCCTGAAATTAAAGCAAGAGTTAACAACAGCTTCAGTATTATAGCTTTTCTTAATTCACAGGACACTAAATCGAAACCTGACACCGAATATACTATACCTTTCAGCTGTGGTGGCGTTATAAACTGATGGTCAATCTCGTTATTGGATGGTAAAAGTGTAGCACAAAAGTTGGAAAAGGATGGTGTTGACTAGCTATCTCACTTCTACTCTATTACATCAAAATTAGGTACAGTCAGTACAGAGTAGCTTTGCGCGAAAATTCTACAAAGAAACGAAATTATTTAAGAACATAAGGTTAAATTGCTGAGAAGTTGTTTGGTGCTTTGGGTGAGAGAATAAACCGATTGGAAATATAAAGAATTAATACATATATATATATATATATATATATATTAATTCTTTATATTTCCAATACTAAAATATAATTCCAGAGAGCGCTGCTATAGTACACTCTCAAATCTCAATCTCATGTTTTCTTGAAGCTAAATCTTAGGCTTAACAGTACGTTGCATTTTCATGTTCGGTTGATGATCTAGTGTTTTCACAGATTCCGGTTTTTAAATATGGTATTTTTATCGTTTGTAAATTGCATGCGTGTAAAGGGACCAGACAAGTTCTGGAAGCGACGTCAAATATTAAAACTCGCAGCTCATTTCTACGGACGAAAACGTAACTGTTATTCTATAGCTATAAGGTCTGTACAGAAAGCTTTACAACATGCAGCTTACGGAAGGAAAGTAAAAAAACTTGAAAGAATTAACTTGTGGAAAGAACGTATTACAGCTGCTTGTGAGGAGTTGAACATTCCTTATCCTTTGTTGATGGAGAACCTTGCGAGATGTGACATTGCTCTAAGCAAAAAAACTTTGGCAGATCTTGCAATTTGGGAGCCTCGTACTTTCAAGTGCCTCACTCAGATCGCAGCGGCGAAAAATCAAAGTTACCCACCAACTGTAAAGGCTGCGCTTCAACCTCCCCCAGAAGGAGTGATAACTAGAGGAATGCTGTGAAGGTGAAAGAGGTTACAGACTGTTATTTGTATTACTTAAGAAAAATCGCAGAATTAGAACTTCATTTCATTCAATGTATTGTTGATCTAGATATAATAGAGAATCAAAATAATGTATTGGAATTTGAAGTTTCCTCTACTGTAGTTTATATTCGTAGAATGTAATAAAATAAGTGATATTATTGCAAATAGTTCTTTTTTATTTCTATAACTAGTTTAATTTGAGACTTCGAGCTCAATTCCTGAGCAACATTTTCCTTTAATGTAATGTTTTTTTCTTAGTCAACACAAGAATTGCTTAACAGAAGTCACGTGAGTTGTGGGCATCTTTCTGTCATATAAGATAACAGATATTTGCGTCTGTTGACATTTCCGAGTGTGACTGAGTAATCCAATTTGAGAAGAGCATGTTTGCTGTCACGTGTATAACTTGTGTTTTGAACTTGATCATGCAGCTTTTGAAGTTTTTCAATGCATTCTCTTCTTCCTTTATTCTTTCCTCTTTCTTTCTGAGGCCCAGATTAACTGTTTGCTTCAAGTCACTCCTGTTCTCGGCCTTTTTTTCCAATGTGTCTGGATAAATGTCCATAGATTTCATGTCTCTCTGCAGGCATCTTTGAAACGAAGGTTCGGGAGGCTTGTGGATGAGTATGTTTAAAACAGTCATTCTTAAAATTCCTGTAATTTTTTTTTAAACAATGTTAAGAGTTTTAACTTTTAGTGCATTTTTAAACAGGTGGGTTTCTATTTAAAGAAAAGTTTTGGGTGATAAATATTGGTTTATTATATCTTCAAATTGTATAATTTATTGATGTCACTACAAGAAATCTTTAGTAACATTACATATAACCGTAAGAATCTTAAAACTACATTCACAGACTATACATAAGCACTTATGTACTTTTTAATATAAGATACTGACCATGTGATCCTTCAAGGCTGTTCTTGCTAACCCATCCTTTATTTTTAAGAAGTCATCAATTCCTGTCTTAAGCTCCTGTAAAGTGTTGGCTTTCACAACTGCCATGAAAACTAATTTTATAAGTCTATCACCTTGTTAGTAAAAAAGAAAACTGTCAGAACCACAACCTAACCTGTTTTTTTTACCAAATTCTCAACTTTTATTTTGTATTGCCCTGTTTTCATCACAATATAGCATAAGGATATCAGAGGCCTTTGTCTTATAAATTCCTTGGGTTATCTTGTAATCTTCAATATGATCACCTCTCAGCCATATCATCTCAACCTATCCCGATAAGACACCCCTTACATCCTTCAATACGATCACCTCTCAGCTATATTATCTCAACCTATCCCGATAAGACACCCATTACATCCTTCAATACGATCATAATATAGCTGAGAGGTGATCGTATTGAAGGATGTAAGGGGTGTCTTATGGAGATAGGTTGAGATAATATAGCTGAGAGGTCTCAACCTATCCCTGTAAGACACCCCTTACATCCTTCAATACGATCACCTCTCAACTATATTATCTCAACCTATCCCTGTAAGACACCCCTTACATCCTTCAATACGATCACCTCTCAGTTATATTATCTCAACCTATCCCTGTAAGACACCCCTTACATCCTTCAATACGATCACCTCTCAGCCATATTATCTCAACCTATCCCTGTAAGACACCCCTTACATCCT